GGTTGTTACATTGTCTTCTATTGAGTTCTTCCGTTGGTTGATCTGCAGCTTCCAGGTGATAATTGCTGTCTGCCTATATCCTTAGACCAACACGGCTACAACCTAAACCCCTGCTACTGTGTTACACATTCAATCACGTTACACATTCAATCACTGATTCACTAGCTCTTTCAGGGGCCAGCCTGATACAGAGAAGGACAGTTTGATTCCTACCCTTGTTAACATTGTTACAATGTATAACTTACTAAAGCACATTTAGTTGGAAATTGAAAGGTGAGGAGTATAAAATATAAGCTACAAATGCCATGGCACACAAATAGATAAAAATACCAAACTACAAGGGGAGATACAACATGCGCACACACAAATTTTAAAACACAATTCCTTACCTTAAAGTGAAAGAGAGAAGAAGGAAGAAAAGGTAGAAAAAGAGAAACATATCCAAAGAGGGGAGAGCAAATGCAGGCAAGAGGAAAAGGGTGCTTTCTGCTACATCCCCACCCCCTACTTACTGGCAGAGAGCCTGGGTCCAGCTCCCTGAGGCGGCATGTAGGGACTGCCTGAATTTCCGAATCTCTGAATCATTTCCGAGTTGATTTGGAGGCTTTGAATCTATTTGGACCTTTTTATTGGTCTCTTGATTCAATTCGGATTTGGAGATTCGGCTACCAAATAGGGCCGAATCTCCTCTGAATCGAATCAGCAACTGAAGCTTTGCACAGCCCTAGTCAACGGTAGGAGCAATAATTTGTTACCATCCTGTCTTACCTTTACAGCATTGTTATTTAATTGCTAATTCTCTTTATAGTGACAGTCATTTTTTCACATTTATATCATTGAACAGTATAACTACAAACCCAACAGTTTTCAATCCCTGACATTCAATTCTTCACTGGTTAGGAAATGCTGTCATATGCTAACACTATCTCTCTCAAGCTGGCTAGATGGACAACAGCTGATGTGTTGTACCATCATGGCCCAATGTTGCCAAACTCTGATACAGGCAGTCCTCAACGTACAGCGTTTCGAGTTACAATGTTTTGCACTTACGTTTATAAACTGACACCCTGTTTAACTTTATGATGTCAGTTTTGACTTTACAACACTTGATCCGATGCGACACCACGCCAGCGAACAAGTTTGCTGTGTCGCTCATCCCCCTGGAGAACATCTGTCCAAACTTCCTTGGACTCTTTCTTTAAGAAAGCAGACAAGACTCCAGAAAAACCTCCAGCCAAGAATCCTTCAAAGAGTCCAACCAAGAGCCTTTCAAAAAGTCCAGCAAAGTCACCTCAAAGAAGTCCTTCCAAATCAATGATTGCTATTTACAATATAAATACATTAATATAGCTATATTACTCATCTATAATTGATTGAGTACAAAATTCTGGGGTATTTTTGGTGAAAATAGGGTATCAGGCCTTGGTTCAGGAACCAACCCCCCAGTTATAACATTGTTTCTTATAGGAAAATTGGTTCTCAGTTACAACATTTCGACTTAAGATGCAGTTTTCAGGAACTAGTTGTGTCGTAACTCCGAGGACTGCCTGCACTTGCTACAGTAAAAGCTCTGTTATCCGGCATCCATGGGGAGTGGGTGGGGGTGCTGGTTAGTCGAATATGCTGGTTATGTGAGAGTTGTACTTACAGCCCGGCGGGTTGGAGGAGTCTTTGCCTCATTGGGCTGCTGCCCCTCCCACCACGTCCAGTGCACTAGGGCTTTCACTCCCTGGTGTCAGTGTGCCTGGGGGGACAGGGAAGGGGGCCCCGCACAGGCTGCTTTTTTCTCAGCCGTGGTCCACGAGGAAGAAGTGGGACTCTGCTCATGGCGGCAAAACTGAAAGTGCCATGGTGGGACTTCCAATTTCGCTTTTGCCATGTTCATCTGCAGGTGGTACATAAGGTACCAAAGGTTGAGAACCATTGCTGTAAACAACATATCTGTGAGAAGCACATGGCAAGATGCTGTTGGCTATCGGAATTTTTCCAGATACGTGAAGGAAGAGTTGTATTGCCGTCTGTGGTAGATGCTGGCTAATAGAGCATTCCGGATGGTAAAGCGACACATAACACAGCTTTTACTGTACTTGCTTCTAAAATTCATTATGCATCCATATGATCTATTTTCTATAAAGGTCACTTTCAGAACTTTTGGGTATGAAATTCAGCACAGAGATGGTGTTTCAGCTCAGTCCTCAGAAATCTTAAAATTAGTATCTTTTCTGATGTATGGTTTTAAACATTCTAGATCTATGACCCTAATTCTAGTGTGTGCACAACCCATCCATTATAATTTCTGTGGTTGTCATAACCCTTATTTTGGGGACAGCTGATTTTTGAATGGTACACAGTATTTGAAATGTCATCTCCCTCTCTTCCAGCAAGACCTGTAAGGTGCTGCAGGACCCGCTCGTCAAATAAGAGCAGCACAGACTAGCTTCCTAAGTAAAGGAAATGCTTTTAATTTAGGGCCTTAAGGTAACAGGAACAAAGTTGGAAACTGCAGGGGAGCCCTCAAAAACCCATAACTAATAAAAGGCCTGGCATTAATTCTGTTAATTTAGGGGTGTCAAACTCATGGCCCCACAGGCCGGATGAGTGATGTGGGGCTGTCCACATGTGCTGGATTCAGCCTACAGACCCATCTCCCCTTGTACGTTGTCCCCAGCATGCACACCGTGTCTGTGTGGAACCAGTCTGGGATATATGTCAGGATGTTACACGGTCAAAGCAAAATCTATTGTTGCTTTTTGTTCAGTTATTCTGTGCTCTTAACCTTACTCTGGTATAATATAACTGGATTTTACAGTTTCTTCAGTAGATATGAAACTTTCCTAGCATTGGCAACGTGTAGGGGGTGCACGCAGGTCCATGTGCACCCCTTGAGATTGGCTGCTGCTGCCAGCAGTGTCTGCGGGTGGTTGCCGATCGCTGATTGGCGCTCACCACCCCACCTCGCAGCTGACACTTCTGTGGCTGCCTGCGTGAGCTCCCACTTTGCTGCTGCCTGCAGGGAGTTGCCATGCTCCCCAAAGCTGCGGAAGGCATGCGATGTTCACATTTCCTAACTAAAGGAACTAACTGCTTGATCCTGGGCGTCAAACAGAATAGCACGCTCCATTCTGTTATTATTAACAAATGGTATAGAAAGCAACTGCCCTGTTTAATGTCTGGGGTAAAAAAAAAAAAGAAAAGAAAAAAAACGTGTTTTGACATGTCAGTTCGCCATGTGCTTTTTTACACTGGTGTAGATAGAATTCAGTTGCTCATCAACATAGAAGCTGCTGTTGCTTACATGGAGAACACTGCTGGTGGTGACATGGTCTTCCTTCCTAGGAAAAGTATTAAAGTTTGTATGTTCAGGGTAACTTTTATAAAGGTTTCTGTTTATCTAGGAGCTGGCTGGCTACAGTGGTGGAGATGTGAGCTTTCTGAAAGAGGACTTTGAGCTTCAGTTGAATAAGCAGGTTTTTTGGGATTCGGTAAGTATTTACATATTCAACAGTCAGTCAGCAAGTAACAAAAGGGGTAACTTGCATCTTTGTTATCTTCAAAAGGCAAGTACTGCTAAAATCACTAGCAACTAAAGCTGGAAGTTGTAACTATCGTAATTTTACCTTGAAACTCAAAAAAAAATCCTAATTGCTAGAATTTCTTTCAGTTCATTTAATTCCTTTTATGGGTAGTCACTTGAGTTGCTTGAATTATTTATCAGTCATCAGATATGAGCAATCTTATTCCTTTTAAGGAAAAGTTCATTTTGGCAAACAGGTACTGCATTCATTTATCCTTTGATAGGTCACTGTTAGCTTTTTCTTGGCTGATTGACCGATCCCCATAGATCAGGCTTCTCTTCCTTCTCATGCTTATAAATCTTCCAGCCAGTCTTGCCTGCATAACTTTTCCTTATTGTCTGATTTTGAATTTGATTACATCACTATAAGTTCATGAATATTCCTGCTTTTCCCCTGGTACTGTCTTAATACGTGAATTATAGCATGTGTTGTGTGGTAAGTATTTTATTTATTTTCTATATAGAGCACTTGAAGGTGAGAAGGAAAGCCAGCCTCAGAAGTGAGTTAACAGCACAGTGCATTTTTAAACCTTCATAAACTGGGCATAAACAGCATTGAGCATATAAACTAATCTCAGTTTATGTATTAAAAATCTTCTTTCAGCTCTTGTTCTTCTGTTCCTTCAGGTGCGCTTCACATGTTCCTGCAAGATGCATAGATACCAGAAGTTCCATGCAAATACTGACTCTTCTGGTATCTACCATCTTGAAATTACATATGACAATATCATTAATAAACACATTTGAATGTCGGTGTGTACATCTCCTTATATATTAGTCTGCAGTTAGATTTATGTGGGAAATTGAACAGTTTGTAAGGTAAAACAAAAAAGTTGTTTGGGTTTGTTTTTTTTTTAATATGAGGGTAGTGGCAAGGCAGTGTCCACATCCATTTGAACAGGAATGGATAGCTCCTTCTAGCATTCTCCATTGACACATCTGGTCGTGTTAAGTTTAACAGCATTTCTGATTTTGTGAATGAGTTTTGCTTGGGTTAAATGAATTCCCTGAAACCAGTATTTTGGAGTGAGGAAGAGGCAGTAGACCCTGAAAAATAAACTCATTTTCTGAGAGTCAAATATGAGCCAATAAGAGGTGAGACTTCTGTTGGGGAAAAGATAAACTTTTTGAAGAGAACACACGTTTCAACCAAAAACCTTCAGGAAACCATTTAACATGCTCTGTAAAATAAAGTTGGAGTTCACTTAAATCAGGTGTCATTATGATAGTGGACTCTTGGAGTTATTTTAGTTGTGTTAGTATATAATCAACTTGCTTGTTAGTATCAAGATTTCTGATCACAAATTGATGCTCGTTCATTGTTTATAACTGTTTGTTTTTTAGCTTTAGTAAGACATTTAAAAATTCAATGGCTAACGAAAGGAAAGAAGGGAAATTAGATAGCAGTCAATATAAATGAGAACCTGCAAAGCGTAGAAAATTGATCATTAAAGCTGAAGGGAAAACAATCCATGGTTGGCAAAGGTAACGATAATAAGGAATTCTTAAATTGTGTTAAGGGCAAAAAGCTACTTTGTCATAGTATCAGCCCATTACTAGAGGACAATAGCAAAATGGTTAAAAATATAGAAAAGGCAGAAGTGTTTCATAAGTCTTGCTGGCCTATATTTGGACAGAAGCAGCATGGTATACTTCTATCATTGTTCCTTAGTAACTGAGAGGAATGTTTAAACACCGTCTTCTAGGGATAAAAGTGAATTATTATTTTTTATCAGCAGGTCTGGATAATTTGCACTTCAGAATTCCAGAAGAATCAGCTAAGGAACTCTCAACCTGCTGATAAATTTTGATAAATCCTGGAATACTGGAGAAGTTCCAGAAGATTGAAAGAATGCTAATGTTGTAGCAATATTAAAAAAAGACCAGGGTTGCTATAGATCAGGAAGCCTGATATTATTTCCAGGCAAAATAATGGAAAACTAGATAAGGGGTTTAATTGATAAAGAATTGTAGGGTAGGAACATAATGCCAGGGAGCCTGGTTATATAGAAAATATGTCTTGCCAAACCTTGTTTCTTTCTTTGAGCTTAAGTCTGTTAAAAGCAACTATGTTTACATACCATTCCTAGTTTTCTTTTTTTTAATGTAGAACTTAGTACACCACTAGATGCTGATTAAAAATAATTAGCTCCATACAATATCAGTAGAGCACATCTCTTAATTACAGTTTATTTTGCAGAGGCCTTATAATGTTCTGTGTTAGATGTAATTAATGTCAGTAAAGATTTTATTTTATTTCTGAGAACAGCATAAAATGGTAAGAGTCAGGAAGTGAAAATGGATGAGGGAGTAGCAAGCAGACTGTAGGATAACTATTTTTTTTTCTAGACTTGCAACTTGAAAACAGCAGTATCTTATTTTAAATGTACTGTGACTTCTTTTTTTTTTTTTTCAAATGTAACACTACATAGATTAGAAAGAGGGCAGTAATGATCAGTAGTTTTTCTGAAAATGTATTTCTTAAAGATTTGTTACCAACATATACCCTGATCACATGCAAAGTTTAGTTGAGCCAGTGGGAGCTATGCACCTGTATCAGGTGATACAATTTAGTCAATGGGGCATGTGAACAATACTTGATAAATGCCAGCTTATAAAAAAAATCACTTATTCTTTTCCCCTAAGGTATTTTCGGCATCTCTCTGGGGTGGATTGTTGGTTCCTGTTGGAGACAAGCCGTCCAGTATTGCTGATAGGCAAGTAATGCATTGAATTCCCAGTTTTGTACTATTGTTTTGTTGTTTTCAGTAACCTCAGGTAACATATATGAAAACGCTATAGCTGCTATTTCTTTTTGCATTTAGTAGTTTGTTTTAGTCCTTGACACCTAGTGAAGCAAGCCCTCACTTGAGAGCCATGTTAACACATTGGCTGTTAACATGGTGCTCCCATCTGTCATTGCCATGGTACATGGTCATACGTTTACAACTTGCAGGTAGTGCTATTAAATAGTGTATATTGACCTTCTTCAATAGTTACTTAACACCTGCAAAATTATCCATTTTAATTTGAGGAAACCATGCATAAATGAATACCCTTGGGTGATATAACTATCTTTTAAATGTGACCAGCTTATTCTTGTTCAGGCTTTGAAATACAATATCTGCTAAAGATCACTAACAGAAACCATTCAGACTTAAAATTATTTTTACCAGCTATCAAGTGGAATTAATTTAACTTTAACATTGAACAGATACTGTTGTTAAGGTGCTTTAGAAAATATTCAGATGGGTCGAACTTGCTGAGAACCAAATTCAGGATTCTGTTTCTCCTGCAGTGGTGAATGCCACCACCAGTACCTATCTTGTAAAAGGAGCTGCATTTCTTGTTATTGCAGTAGTAGGAAAGGAAATACAGAAACTTGTAATTTGGTAAAGGAAGACTTTTTTCTCAATTTTTTTTGGTTTTAAAATTCAGCCCAGTTGTGACCTCTGATAATGAATTGTATTTCACTTAACCTGTAAAACAACAAAAAACAAAAAAGTTACCTCTAATTCTGAATTTGAATTGCAAAGAATGGATAACTGCATTCTGAAATTAACTAGGACCCTTCTGTAATGGTTAATTGAAATAAAAATTACTTTGTTTTCTAGGTTTTATCTTGGTGGACCAACAAGTGTTCGTGGATTCAGTATGTACAGCATTGGACCCCAAAGCGAAGGTCTGGAACTCTTAAATCCCAATCTTATAACAACATCATAAGTGCTAGTTTTAAAAGACAGGGTTTGTATCTTTGTTGCACTTAGATTTTAAATAAGTAGAAACTTTTCTCTCTGGCTTATTTTTTCAGAAGAAGTGGATATAATCCTAAGGGTTTGAGTTTTGAGTATCTGATTTCTGATATTACTAGATCACAATGGAAAAAAGATGATGCCTTCACAGTTTTATGTTTTGAGTCTACTTTGCTAGATTGACTACACAGGAAGACTTGTTTAAGATCCATTTTTAAATTTCATTTTTATCCCCTATGCATTCCTCCCTAGCTTTTGCTTGTTGATGAGACAACTGTGTTACTCATTCACTAATGCTTTGAGATTTTAAGGTTGGTAGTAGCCATGTTGGTGTAAGGATATAGGCAGACAAGGTTCTTTAGGTAAACATGATATCTTTTTATTAGACCAACTAAATATTTAGTTGGTCTAATAAAACATGACATTTACCCAAAGAACCTTGTCTGCCTTGAGATTTTAACACTACACAGAAACATATGTTTACTTTTTATAAACATAATTTTTAATATTTGCTATACAGCACAGTAATTGAAGTAAATTAAACACCACTTCATACTGTGATGTATAAAGGAAAACTGATTATCTAGAATGATAGTGGAACTAATTATTCTGGATAATCAACTTTTTACTGTAGTAGGTTGTCTCTGTTGAGCAACTAACATGTTCTTGCCCCCTGAGCCTATTTAAAAGCAAAGATAAAAGATAACTGCTTGTGTAAGATTTAAAGAACTATATAAGTGTTAATTTATCCCTTGCTGGAAGTAGGAATGGAGAACCAATGTGGAAGAGGTGTGACCATAATAAAACAATTTAGGAGTTCCCCTTCCTTTTGGAGCTTTTCCTTTTGGTCTACTCCATGTAAATACTTTGTGTGCAACATTTTTCCATGCAGGTGATTACCTGGGAGGAGAAGCCTTTTGGGCTGGTGGCCTGCACCTGTACACGCCTCTCCCTTTTCGGCCAGGCCGGGGGGGATTTGGAGACCTTTTCAGAACACACTTCTTCCTCAATGCTGGAAACCTCTGCAACCTTAACTATGGTGAGAAGCAAGATATGCATGTAAATATTGAATCGCATGCACCTGTCCTCAACCTCCCTCCTCCTCTCCCCAGATCTCAGGAGGGTAATAATATAATGATAGTCTATATATAGGTTTTCTCAATCTTATTTTATAGCTGGGGAGTCGAACATACAGCCCACAGGCTGTATTCAGACCACACCAGTGAGTCATCCAGCCTGCAAGGCTTCTTTCTGGCCAGACAACTTGCCTCCAGATCCAGTCTGCAGGACTTGTCACCACAGCTTGCAGACCTACTGTGCCAGTGCTACACTCGGGGTTAAAACTGCCCACCACAAATTTTCCCTTTGTTGATGGCCGCCTGGCATATAAATGGGCAGTGAAGCAGAGACTTTAACCCCTGTGTGCTGACTACAATGACACAGCAGCTCCAGCAGCCATTGTAAAGGGAGGTTAAGTGGCAGTGGTATTAACTCCTTGGCTGCTGGCGCTGACACAGCAGTTGTAGCCACAGTAAGAAGCCCTGTGGGCTGGATCCAGAGAGGAGTCATCTGGCCCGCAAGAATCGCTATGATAGACTCTAGTCTGCCAACTCAGGTGAGTTTGACAGCCATGGTTTACATAGTTTACACTGTAAAAATTATAGCGGGCAAAAACATATGCTAAAAAATAGTAGGCTACATTTTAGTCATCTTTGCATTTGTCAGGTTAGCAGGTAAAGTGGTAATTATAGTAGACCTCTCTAAATCACTTTTTAAAATAAACTTTTTAGGCCCAGGAACTTTTCAGGATGCAGAAGCCTGTCTAGTTAGGCTAACTTTGATAGCTGTTTGTGTAATACTTGCTTTGCTAGACACACTAGGTTTTGGAGAAAAATAGAAGAATCAAATTACAGATTAAAAAGTTAAGGCACCATAATGTATCCTGAGTATGGGATAATTATTAGGGCTTTGTGAGATTTCGCTGGCTATTCCGTTTTGACGCTGTTTTGACTCGTTTCAAGCTTGAAACAGTGAAATCAAATGAAATAAAAGGCTTCAAAACAACCTCAAAACGAAATGAGGGCAGTCAAAATGTTTAGAGTTTCAAAGCTGAAGCTGGGCTTGCTTGCACGGAAATAGAAAGTAAGGAGAGGGAGGGGAAAGAGGGGGGGGAAGGACTGCTCTGATATTGAGTGTGTAGCTGGCCAGTGACTGTGATCCTTCCCTGAGGTCCCTTGCAGTCCCAGTACTTTGAGGGAGGGATGGAAAAACAGCATAAAAAGCAGAATTGTTTGAACTGAGCTGCTTTCTGCTACTGAGCTGTGTCTTTTAGGGCTGTGCGAAGCTTTGGTTGCTGATTTGATTTGGCGGAGATTCAGCCCGATTCGGTGGCTGAATCTTTGAATCCAAATTGAATCAGGAGACCCTTTACTTTCTCCAAATTGAATCGGAACCCTTCGAATCAGTTCGGAGAGATTCGATGATTCAGAGGTAGACACAGCTCTTAAATGTTTTTTTTACATACCTCAAGCTACCAGACAGCTCATGAACGCTGAGATGGTGGGACAGATGGAGCATCCCACAGGAGTGTGGGGGTGGTCCCCAGTGTGCTTGGTGGCGGACCCAGAAGTGGACCAGAATCTGCCCCCTGGCTCGGCGACTGATGCCTTTGGGGGGAGGGGGGGGTACGCAGAGTCCCCCTGTGGTTGATTACTGAGCTGGAGGGGCGCAGGGGGGACCCCCGCATGCTCAGTGGCAGACCCAGAAGTGGCCCAGAAGTACTATGTTGCTAGAGAGAGACAGTACTTCCAGTTCACTTTCAGATCTGCCGCTGAGCATGCGGGGAGCCCCACCATGTTCCTGTGGGGCGCTCCATCTGCCCCAGCATTGCAGCGTTCATGAGTTGCGCCTGGGACCTCGAGGTATGTAGAAAAAAACACTTAATGCTGTGTCTATGGCTGAATCGCTGATTCTCCAAATCAGCATTGAATCTTCAGATTTTGGATTTGGCCAAATTGAATCGGGACAGTGATCCGAATCAAATCACCGTCTCCTTATTCGGGCCAAATCGGAATCCAAATCGAATAATTCCCATTTCGCATGCCCCTAGTGTCTTTCAGCAGCATCAGACAACAAAAGTTACCATTCATTTCCTACTTGCTAGTCTAGCAAATGGGATTCATCAATACCTTTTGCTTTCTATACTCTTATTTTATTATTATATTCATTCATTCCTTTCAATTTATTCCTCACCCAAAATCCTCTTTTTGTTTTTGTTAGTCTCTTTTGATTCTTTTCCTCCAGAAAAGAAATCTGTGCTTGATGAAGTGTAGTTCATAGGCTCATCTGTGAAAAGTGGTTTGTAAATTCAGCCTCACAGAGGCTTTTTCAACTCAAAACCTTGCTAAGATATATTTCTCTAACTATTCCGTTGGTCTACTAAAAGATACCAGATTTACCCAAAGAACCTTGTCTGCCAGTGCCATGTCCTTCAACCAACACAGCTATAATCTACACCTCTAGGACCTGTCTCCAGTCAGCTGACTGGAGGGACTCGGGGCCCTGGGCACATCTAAGCCCCAGGGCTCAGGCTGGCAAGGGAGAATTCTCTGGCAGCTGCTGGAAAAGAAGCTCCTTCAGGAAAGGAAAGAAAGGCTCTGTGACAGTTTGGCTGCCTGCGATGCTAGTGCTACTGTGGTACTTACCTGTTGTTATTTAAAGTAGTGAACCAGGCTGAGGCTGTAGGGGAGGAGGAGCCAGCCTCATTGGGGCACACTACCATGTCGTGTGGAGGCCCCAGCGCCAGTGAGGGCGCACCTTAACACGCGCACACACAGTCACACATGTCACAAGTTTTGCTTGTCAGCTGCTTGAGGTGCAGTTTCCCAGAAACCCCTGCACCTGTCTCCTTGAAACTTAACGGGCTTTGTGGCCTCAGCAGGGGCTACCCTTCCTCCCTGCTGTTTTCATTCAAATCAGGCAAGAAATGACAAAGTTATAGGCAGTTTTGTGATTCCCCATTATAGCCTATGGGCAAAATGAAACCGCAAAACTGTTTCAAGGAAGCACTGTTCTGTTTCGTTTTGAAACGAAATGAAATGTCAAAATGAAATGCCGTCCCTTTGAAATGGAAGTCAAAACAAAATGGTGCTGTTTCACACAACCCTAGTAACTAGTATGCTGCTTTTCTTCCCATTCTTTCAGCTTCCTTTCCTTCCAGAGTCCATTCAATGATTTACTAGGGTTTGTGGGGTGCAGCTAATATTAGTGATATTTGATATCTGATATCCTGAGGGAAAAAATATCTTCACTCATACACTGCATGCCCAACTGAACAGTAGATGAATGTATTACTGGAGACTTGCTGAATTCTACCTCTAACCATTAGTATAAGAACCAGAGAAGTTAGAGAAGAAATGTTGACCAAGTTCCTGATTCTCACAAGCAGGTAGTTCTTGCCTGAGTTGCTAATTATTCACCAGTTCTGGGTACTTTATTTACTTTATTTACTGTAGTTAGACACCTAGATGCTCCTAAAATTCAGTTACATTGTCCAGATAGTGAAAGGCTATTTTAATCCCTATTCTAATGTTTCTTTCACTGCTCAGGTGAAGGCCCCAAAGCTCACCTCAGGAAGCTGGCCGAGTGTATCCGATGGTCGTATGGTGCTGGAATAGTGCTCAGACTTGGAAACATTGCTAGATTAGAACTTAACTACTGTTTCCCCATGGGAGTGCAAAGTGGCGACAGGTTTGTTTTTCACAGAATTATAGAGCTGGAAGGGAGCTCAGGAGGTCATCCTTGTTCAAAGCAGAGTTATCCATGTCTAAACCATCCTAATCAAGTGTTTGTCTAACCTGCTCTTAAAAACTTCCAGCGATGGAGGTTCTACCGCCTCTTTTACTAATCTGTTCCAGTGTTTACTCACCATTGCAGCTGATTTTTAGAATATTATCTAATTTTCAAACTTTTTAGATTACCTAGAACCTTATTCAGTTGTCCGAATTAGAAAGTTATTTTTTGTTTGTTCTTTGACTATTTATTCTCTGGAGATTTTCTCACCTCTGATGCAGTTTTTTCCAGGCAAGTTATTCCATGTTGGTTTCAGAAGTATTTCCTTAATTAGAGCTCTATTTCAGGTTTCAAACTTCATTGAATTTTTAATTCATCTGTTGAAAGTATATGAGCAAATGTGTGGCAGGATTTTTTTCTTTACGATGAAGATGTACATGGTGAAACACCTCACGGAGTTTTAACAAAATTGGACAGATATCAATCTTTTCAGCTGGGATTTCACAGCTAAAAAGTGTAAGCTTCTGATTGCTAGGTACAGATAATGAGGAATTTGATTATAAGGAATTATTATAATTGCATTTTTGCAGCCAGTTCTAATAGCCTGCATCAAGCAGCCTAAAATGGAAAAAAACTTCAGAGTCCTGAACCTCACTGTGAAATACTGTGAATATCATTTTGGATATTGAAATTGCTTTTCCTTACTTAAGGTGCAGTTGATGATTTTGAACATCATTTGATCTTTGAAACTTTTATGATGCTAAATTTCATTACTTCATATGAGTTGCAGGTGGTGGGAATGAATGATGAATATGGTCCATAATTTTTAATTACTGGCAGGCAGTTATCCATGGAAAATTGGCATGGAAATTGTTTTTATTTAAAGGATCCTTTCTCAGCTGTTCTTTCTTAAATATATTTGAATTGTTGTTTTCCAAAAGCTTGAATGCAGTAAAAATCTGTCTGGGAAGGAATTGCTCAAAGAAGAATTTAATGACACACATATCACTAATTCTACTTTTTTTTTTTTTTTTAAACATTTTTCTTTCAGGATATGTGATGGTGTCCAGTTTGGAGCTGGAATAAGGTTCCTATAATACAGCAACATTTCACGCTGATATCAGAAAGGGAGAGCACTTGAAAAAACGTATGGCTCAATATGGTCTGGATTTTTTTTTTCTTGAAGTCTAAATATGCATTTCATAAAGCTCTCAGACTCCACCATAAATAATAAAGGTGGGGAATAAATAATTATGGCACAATAAAGGATTATGCCATAAAGATGTGTTGTACATCTGATTTTTCTCAAGGATGGGGAAGGAGTCTGTGGTGTGATAGACAGATGTGCGCGCGCATACGCACGCACGCACGCACTTAAACTTGTAAATTTTACTGAGGAGTTCATACTCTGAAACAAAAAAACAAAACGAATAAAAAATATGTGCTTTGGAAACTGATTCTGAGACCATTCCAAAAAACAGGTGTCAGTAGACTTATTTTTTTTCAGTACTCTAACATCTTCAGCTGCAAGCCACATAAATATGGGCTATACTACACATATAGCACCAGACTGTTAATAAATGTTAAGCATTATTTTTCCATGCTTCCATAAGCTTCAAGTTTGAGGAGGAGGGAGAACACCCTAACACATTTGTGCATCAAACACTACTTGGTGTGTAACAAGCATAATGGTTATAGTTGAAGGTAAGGACTCGGATTAAAAGTATTATTTATAATATTGTGGAAGGAGCTTTGTTGCATTTGTTCCCTATTAATCTGGACTGCCTTTTGCAAAGGTTTGAATCCAAAATTCAAGAACATTCATTGTAGAAATCAAAACTAATTTATTTTTTTCAGATTTTCAGTGAAGTGGGTAGCTTTAAATATTTTGCACCTAGTAAACAGGTTTGGAAGGGCCAAGATCAAAAGCTGTGTTGATTTTCTTCAGTAGGTCACAAAAAAGCCTCTTTCACCTTCTGTATTTGAGATCAGGCAACACTAGCGTCTTTGGTTTTATATTAAAGGGCAATCCCTGATTAATTATTCTTTTAATATTCATTCTAGTTTAAAGTGATACTGTGCCATACAGCTAAGTATATTTTCCTGTTTTAAATTCTTATGTAAGGATCATGATTCCTTTTATCCTGTTCTAATGACTTTGCTTTCATAACACTTTACTAGTTTTTATTTTGTGTAAATTAAGTGCACCCGTCCTAAACTGTCAATACAACCTGCCCGGATATAAAATCTATTT